GTCGTCTCATATCTTAGCGATTTCTAAGAAAATATTCCGTCTTACCTTCTACATCAAGAAGTTAAGACATTCTGGTATAACCCAACCCTTACTCCTACAATTCGTTAACTCTCGCATTTTGCCTATTATTCTCTATTGTTCTCACCTAGTTTTTCCTGGGCTACTGAAGAAAGGCAATAACATATTACGCAGGATGTTAAAGGTTGTCAGCAGGGTAAGCAACGTGCCACTTAACCAGCTTGTTAATATTCTGGTCGACAGGCACATGGACTCATGTGAAAAATGGGCTAAGTCCATTTTATCTAACTCACTCCATCCTCTTCACTCACAACTCTCCCCTTGCATCTCATCAGGTGAAACCAGAAGCCTCTATAGAGAACTATATGCTCGCACTAGCATGTACAAAACTCAACCATACCCTACTTAGCTCGTGTTCTGTGTGATAAAGAAAGCATTAGGCGTGACACCTATAACTTATTAAATAGTCAGTAGTACAACTGGGCCTCGTCTTTCCAACTCATATCATTTATACGTACAACGTTTTCTTTCTTTCTTTTCCTTTTCTCTCTCTCTTTTTCTCTTTTTTTCCGTTATGTGCTGTTTTGTTTCTTTCTTCCGCATACGCCAGTAAATATGCTAACACCTACTTTTCCAACACCTTCAAACACTGTTCAGCTTTACCTTTGCTACCGACATGCCAATATGTTGTTTTTATAATGAAGTGAGATTTCCTTAATCTATGTAGAATTCGATTTATTGATAATGTACTAGCTGGATGCAATACTGTAGTAAAAATGTTGAGAATTCCATTCTGTACCACAAGTACTGTTTTGCAATAAAGCAAATTATTACTATTATTATATTGAGCAGACCACTTACGGTGATCGGAATTATTTCAGTTCCCAAAAGAATGCGTAGTGAAATAATCACCCCAAAATGTGTAAATCAGGAATTCAGTTTGTGGTACCACCAGTTTGTCCAAGTACTTAACCGGAATTCCGCGTAGTTTCAACTTATTCAGCTCTCTGAATTGGTACTGAAGTGTTCGTTTGCAGGAATTCGACTAGTTATAGGATTTCATCATGAGCTGACGTCCGCTAGAGAATCATTGGAACAGATGTTTCGTCCTAGTTCGGGACTCTTCATCAGCTTATATCCACCGCCAGGGTTCGAACCAAAGACCGTTGGGCTTATAAGATGACCTTGTAGACCATTTAGCCACTGGAATTCAACACACTGGCCAGCCCACGAATTCCAATTTCTGCCAATTCGCACACGTTATAGTGCTGCCGATAGCCAATGACATCAGTGGCGAGTATTTGTCTACACACCTGATCTACTGTACCCCACTGGTCATGATTTCCCATTAGAAACAGTAGTAACTACCTATCTGAATGGGGCTAGTCGCTAGTGAGCACCAGATGAATATATGACTATATATAACTAATTTCTTGCATGACTTCGTGTGTGTCTGCCCACAAAAAAAAACAGTACACAGACCTACATAGTTTTACAAAGTGTCCATTTCTGTGTTTAGATGATGAGTACTTTTCGTTTATTGCAAAAGTAGTTATGAAAAACTATAGAAAGAGACAAAAAAAATTGCACTCGACGTCATCAGCAGCAATCTTGTTGTAGTTATCATCAATGATGCATGTTGTCATTTTTATTTATTTATTTATGCATTTAATTTTTTTTGAGGAAATATAAATATACTATTAGTAGCAGTATTAGTAGTATTTGTAGTATTAGTAGTAGTAGTAGTGTTAGTAACATTAGTAGATGATATGTACTATTTGTATATATTGTGTAGTTTTTTGTAAATATACGTTTTAGAGTTTATATTTTTGTCATAATTCTGGAAAATAGTAGTATATATACATATTTTTTAATTATCAGAATGCAAAAGGAAAAAGAACAGAGTAGCATTCATTCAATATATTCGTTTTATCATCTGTAATCTATGTATATTTATACAGACTCTAGTAATATTGATTGTTATCATTACTGTTATTAAATGTTATTGTTCCAAAAAATGGTCTGGAATGATACTTATCAGCTCTACTGTCAATCCTACTTATTCGTAGAAGAACTACACATGCCTAGATGATGACTGAAAGTGAACTGAGCATTTGAGTTACGACAGGATTCGAACCAGGTGTCTGTGTGTGGTGCTCTGCCAAACTGAACTAATCTAGATAGTCTTATGAACCTTCTTCTAGAGGGGTATGGCTAAGGTTAATAGGAGAACTAATTAGGCAACTAGTGAGATGATAAATCCTCAGTTACCTATCACTTTGTCATATAAGAGTTAGACAATAATCAGTAGAAATGGGAGGAACCTGAAAGAAACAACCTCCTTTACCTACCTGGGAAGCATCGTCTCAACTGTAAGCAGACGGAACTGACTAGGATATCAAACCATCGAGGATCGGGAGAGCAAGAAAAGCTTTCATTACTCTCACTTCTAGGTGGAGGTCAACACTCAGCAATCAGCATGAGAAATAAGATCTGGGCACCTCACAAAAACTACAGACCTTCATCAACAGATGTATTCGCTTAATACTTCGCTCAAAATCAGAAAGCTAGTCAAAAAAGATCAGCAACAGGGAGGGATCTCTAGGAGCGAATCAACCAGCAGGAACCAACTGTGCAACAAATATGCAGGAGGAAACAGAGGTGGACTGGCCATACTCTGAGATAACAAATCATCAAGTGACACCATTAGACAAGCCCTCAATCGGAATCCGAACGGGAAGCGGCGAGTTGATCGTCAATGCGAGGGTGACATGCAGGAGGAGGTCGAGTGAAGAGGAGATGAAAGCATGTGAGCAGACGTTGAGTGCGGTGAAAAAGTTAGCAGAGAACCAAACGCAATGGAGACGTTTCGCTGAAGCGCTATGTTCCTCTTGGAATTAAAGGAAACAATAATATTAATATATAATAATAATTAATCATGATTGGTGATGTAAGAAGATTCCAGAAGAAGTGGGTTTCGTAGGTGATTTATGTTTAATGTCATACAAATCAGAATATCTACGGATGAAAATTGGGAAGTTAGCAGAAGAGGCAGAGAATACAGAACTTCAAGTGAACATAAAGAAGACAGGGGTGTTAAGGATAACAAACCAACCAACAACAGCAACAAGAACCAAACAATTTCAACGGAAGAAATTTAGACGAGATCAGTTCTTTCACCTATTTCAACATCTTCATTTTAATTGCGAAAGTCAAAGCCAGACAGGTTCTGAAGGGCAAAACACTCCCCTAGAATTCTTAGATGAATGTAGAAATCTGCAGCACTCGTCAAAAGAAATAAAATCCGGATTTTCAATACTCATGGTAATATATTCAGTTCTTCCACAAGGTTTGCAGACTTGACACGTCACCAGATTCATTTCTTACAGTCCGCTGAGGACTTCCATAAGCAGCTAACGCCCTTCTCTTGATGGAGAGGACCAGATTGCTAACCAGGAAGAACAATCAACAAGTAACTGTGGGCACGAACCAATCAAGAAGCTATTGGACATGCACCGGGGAGACCAATGAGTGGCTTCATCCGTCACACCCCAAAGTGAAACGGCTGGTTGGATGTCTAAGTGTGAGATCATGAAATGAGGAAATAAAAGCATTTTAGTTGAAGTCGCATCTTCCATTCGGAGACTAACAGAATAATGAGTGATGTTACAACCTGCGTTAGCAGTTAATTTACTTAGATCAGCGGGCACAGTGTCGTGCTAGTAATCCTACTGCTACTCAGATAAACATTTCACCTACAGTCACTGCTGATTGTATCACTAATAATCTACCAATAAGATGGTTTTAAACAGCTTGGTATCTCTAAGATAAAGTTTGGGGTCATAAAGACCTTCGGCATATATTTTATCACTACGCAGCTAATCACTCACAATCTAATGATGCAAACTCTTTTAAAACCGTTGCTCGGTATCATCACCAACTAACTCCTCTCACATATGGCTAACTCGATGAAAGCACACACGAAGGTTGTTGATGTACTTATGGATTATTATTTCGACACGTGAAGTTGTTCGCTTGATAAGTTTTCAAGCATAGCACAGACACTTTGTATTCTGTATTTCATAGGCAACTTTTCTTAAATTGATATTGAATAAAACTCCTGCCGAAAGCTTCTACAATTCTTTGAATTAAGAAGGGCTGGAATTCATGCGGTATCATGAGTTATAGCCATACTCCAAACTTGAGTACCATCTAACCAGTTAACGTATTCATCTATGCTGTGAGACTCAAATAGGCTGGGACAAAAGTGTATTGGGAAAAAAAGCCTTGTTCTTGCTCCATATATCGGTGAAACTTCACAATTGTCTTCTTCTGCACATAAGTCATGAATTACAAACACCAACCGATCCAAGGTAAGGTTCTACTGAGATGAGAATGTTCTCCGCATTGTTGGCGTCTATTTGTACGCTATCCTCATCCCTCAGTTTGACTTTTTATTGAATATATATATAAATTTAAGCACAGGAAAAATATCAGTGCAACGATACTGGATAGGTGTTTGTCCCCTTAACTTATTTTTAGATTATTCGTTAGTAGTGATGTCTTTCCGTGATTGAATTTGAAGGTATTGACAACCACCCCTCCTCAAATTAGTAACCTGTTCATTAGTGGCTGCTTACGGTATGAATTACTCAGGATTCTTGTAAGAAATTGTGAGCAGTCGGGTTGATTAAGTCAAGTGTAAGAACAGATACTCGCTACTGACACTGTTTAATCACCAAGGTCAGTTATTGTCTGGCTTCATAACTTGAATGCCCTGGATTCGAGTCCTGATATGGTCATGGGTGAGTTCTACTGAAGACTCCCAAACTAGGATGAAACAACAGTCCAATACACCCTAGATTTTAAGGATTCTTTAATTAGTTTCATTTTTTTTTATCTAATTAGCATTCACAATTTTCTATTTTGCAATTTAATTTAATCTACTCTCCTTTTCTCTTTTTTGTTTTTTAATTTTTCAGAGTTCACTAAACATACGTAAACAAACTTTTTACAAAAAACCAAACAAACAATTACTCAGTTCCCTACCTACCTAACTAGCCTATCTATCCACCTATCTACCTACTTACTCATCAACCTAAACGTGATCTACTTTTAAACTATAATCAATCAATCAATCAATCAGTAAATCGATCAATCGGTCTCTCATTTGTATTTAACATAATTACACTTTTTCTCTGTGTATCGTGATATATATATATATATATTTACATCTATACATATACATATATATTCTTTCTATCAATTCAACTGTGAATTTTTCCTGATCACTTTCTTGATTGATGTCTTCTTCATTCTTATTTTGTGATTTGATCATGATAAATTCAACTGTGAAGTTCGGGTCGAGCAACTCGACGAAATATGACAGACACTTCAGTGAAAAGCTCAAATTGTGGTCCATTGCAAAATCACGACTGTTTTGATTGTCGTTTGTATTTTTGACTACAATTACTTCTGCACTACGACTGAAGGCAACGGAACAGCGTAAAAAACAGAAAAAAATTGGAAATTTCTTTCTTTTCATGTGTTTTTATTGTCAACATCATCACCATGATCATCAATCACTATTTTGAACAATGTACAACTACTGCTCAATGTATTTGGTTTATCTTCAAATGTATAAAAAACAGTACATACATATAAAATATAATAATCATGTTTTGAAATCCATATTTCTCACTGTGTTGTTTCCCCCAATCTAAAAATGTCTCTTGAAATATTAGTGTAGTGTAGTGGGGGGTATAAGCGAAATATTTCTTCGATCTTCTTTCTGGACGCATAAATCAGGTTTCAGGCGCTTGATGGGAATTCTTTCAGCAAACTTAAGGAGAATTGAGCTCTTTTGCCCGTTGATAATTTTGAACGACTTTTTGACGGCCACCTCATAACCCGTGTCGAGGAGATGCCTGGCGATGGCACTGTTTAAAGCATTTGTTTCCTTTAGACGTAAGCTTTTTGGTACATGTTCAGAAAATCGTAGATATGCGCTTCTTTCTTTTCTTCCAATGTAACTGCTCCCGCAGATACATGTCAGTTTGTATATACAGTTGGAGTTAACATGAGAAGGATATCTATCGATTTTTGATTGCATCAAAGAGCAATTTGTTCGATAGACGGGAACGAGCTTAGCTGCAGGATAGGCTATGGCTAGTGATGTGCTCAGCCTTCTGTTGATCATCGCTGCAATGTTTTCGCCTTTATAATCAAGCTGAAAGTAGATTGGCTTTTTTATTACTGTGATTTGTTTCACATTTGTGACTTTAGATCTTCCATATTTGTTGATGAACTTTTGAGGGTACCCATTGCTCTTCAATATCTTTCCAAGAAACTCAAATTCTTCCTCTAATGTCTCTGTAGAGCATATTCTTCTCGCTCTATAGTACAGAGTCTTGACTAGACCACGTTTAAAGCTATTTGGACAAAAGCTATTAAAATGTAAGCATTGTCCTTTCCATGTGAACTTTCGATAAATTGACTTTTGAAGACTACCGTCTTCTAGGCGTTCCATGGCGATGTCGAGGAAGTGAAACTTTTCGTCACTTTCATGTTCCGTAGTAAATTCAATGTTTATGTATATGCGTTGTTGAATAATCTGAGCAGGTAGGAAGCATGACTTTCATAGTTGCACACTATAAATGTGTCATCAACACATTGAAAATAGGAAGTTTTTTGTCAATTGCATGCTTTAACTTTGTTGTCTCAAGGTTTGACATGAGGACATCTACTAAAACAGGGCTAAGTGGACTGCCCATAGCTACACCATTTATTTGGCGATAAAGAGTGTTGTCAAATTTGAATTTTACGCCCATTGTACATAAAAGCAATAGGCATTTGAATTTTGATTGTGTGAATGGGAGAAGATCAGACTGATGACAAATAATCTCAATAGTTTCGTTGACTGGAATTATTGAATACAAGGAGGTTACATCAAATGACACCATGAACTTATTTAAAACGTTCATGTGGTCCACGCTTCCAGAGAAATGAATTAATCAGTAGATATTTATATCTCGAGGCTTCGACAATGTTTGGTGGTAATTATTATTATAATTGTTTCCTTTAGTTCCTAGAGGAACATAGGGCTTCAGCCAAACTTCTCCATTGCGTTCGGTTCTCTGCCAACGTTTCCACCTGGCTCCAAGTCTGCCCACATGCTTTCATCTCCTCTTCACATCACCTCCTCCTGCATGTCACCCTCGCATTGACGATCAACTCGTCGCTTCCAGCTCGGGTTCCACTCGAGCAATGGCCTGGCATGTGATGTCACTTGATGGTTTGTTTTCTCAGAGTATGGCCAACCAAACCACCTCCATTTCTTCCTACATATTTGTTGCGCAATTGGCTCCTGCTGGCTGATTCGCTCCCAGAGATCCCTCCCTTTTCGGCTGGTCATCTGATCTTGAGCGAAGTATTGAGTGAAGACAGCTGTTCATGATGGTCTGTAGTTTGTGTGAAGTGTCCTTTGTGATGCGGAGACAAGTCTCTGATCCATACAATAAGTAGCACTGATTTCACATTGGAAGTAAAGTTGATGTTTAACTCCCACTGAGAACAACATCACTCATTGCGAATGCAAGTCACTCTGGTATATGATTCCCAGATTAGATGAAGCTCATATTCTGGAGTTCTATCAGCTAAAAAAATAATAAATAGGGCGAAATCTTACTCATCAATTCATTAATGCATTCTGTCAGATGTCAGAAATACTGAAATTTATACTTTGATTGAACACTGAATAGTAGATGACTGAAAGCAATAGGCAAGAGACGTTGCACCCAGGTGTCGTCAGTTAGGCATATATCTCCAACCCTGATGGAACTCATGAGTTCTCTTCTACCGATTTCCACCAACCATCTAATAACACAGAGTATGTAGGAATAAAAGAAAGAGTCATCGGAAGGCAGACATTCATACTAACCATATTGCTGGTCAGAATAGATGGAATCTAAACTGTCTGATTCTCAGTAACCCTCTTCTAACTGTCATTTGGTGATCAGGCCAACCTGTTGAAATGAAATATATTCACACACATATCTAACCATGGAAATATATCAACACCCATCGATTTAATGTACAGAATGCAAAAAGGAAGCATAAATTTAACCTTCACTGACATATTAAAATTGAAAAATTCTAAATTACCTCAACAAAACAAACACTATCATGGTGACATTTTCATATTTGTTTTGAAAATGCATAAAAGTACACAGTCATAGATCATCCATGGGAGAAGTCACTTGGTGAACACATCAGATGCAAACACACAAGATGACGGGTATGATAACGACATTTCTTCAGAATGGTACAACTGATTCGGCTTACAGTATGCGCATGTGCCTGTGCGTGTGTGTGTGGTCGTCGAGATGATGCTATCACACAGGAATTGAAATCCATCTTTCACTGAATGTCTCCATTGAGTTTTTGTCATAACATGAGTGGACAATCAGATAGTAAAGTAAAAGTTACTTTAGTAATACAGAGAATATTTACAAAGTTGTGTAGTGATAAAATTTCCTGTACATTTGGCTGGCTTGCTAAAGTCATTAGACTTCCGAAATACACAAGCAACAAACAACAGTCAAGGATAGATTAGTGAGCTTTTTACTGTCTCTTCATTGTCGGCTTGTTTTCCTCTGCTTCAAGTTGATTCTTCATCATCTTCCTAGAAGCTATTTTGTGTCTTCAAAGATTTGTCTTTATTAACACCAACCAGAAAATTTGCATGCAATGTTTCAAAGTCCCAAATAAATTGCCTGCTAATTTATCAGATAATACTGAATGAAGCAAATGGCCTCAGTGGTACGTTGCCATTGTACTCTGTTCTCTGACTTGATTTCAAATGGTGGCAACTTTGCCAACAAGCTTCCATCTCTTCTTCACATCCTGTTCACTGTGTTATGCAGAAAACCACATCCAACTCGTTGCTTCTCACTCAGGTTCCTCTCGACCTCCTGCCTTATGATATAACTTGCAGTTTTGTCTCCTCAGTGTATGCCAAATCAATCCCCGTTTCTTTCTTATTATTTGTTACAGAGCAGGTAATTACATGATTCTCTGTCTGTCTTAGCTCTGACTAGTTCTGTTCAGTCATCTAATTTTCAGTGTCAATCAAAATCGGATGCTGATGAAAGCGTATTGCTGCTGTGCCTCTGAAGCCACAGGTTTCAGTTGAAACACAAGAAATGTATAACATTGAGTTGACCACTAACTGTCAGTTTAGCGCTTAGCGAGTTTATTTATCTAATCATCAGGTTATTTAGAAAAACCACTGAAACAAGAGAGGAGCATTTCGGGTAAGAATCTGAAAACTGATACAAAAAGATGTTTCAGCACTGAAATGAATATCTACATAAGATGATTGGTGGCAGCCGGCAGGGGAACCTATCTGATTGTTGTTACTCATCATTTCGTAAGGCGTATTTGTCGAGTGAACGAAAAGTGTAAATTATCGACCAAGAGCCTTCACCGTCGAACAGTATTTTATATGACATATGATTCGTTTATAAGAGACTCAGGACTAGCAAAACCGAAACATAAAATCAGTCTAAATCCTTCGGTTGTTGGTTTAATCCACGTAGAGAGGTGCAGACAATCTGACTGGGGCTGTTGAGACGCTGAGAATCAATGGCAGGAGAGTGCAGGAGAAAAAGGTTCAAAATCTCATTGGCGAGCATATGAATTCACTTTTCTCAATTTCCAAGATAACAATAGTAATAGTAACAACTTTATTCTGCGGAAAATGTCCATGTAATGTACAGAATTAACAGTGTAATTTACTGCAAAATATTTTCTCCTTATTCAGGACTTTCAGGGAAATTAACGATCTATGTGGAGGAATGCTGTTCGATTTGAAGCATGTACTGCATCTTTATGATGTTTTTCCTTCGATTGATTGAACCGAAGTGCTCGGTCTCACTCATTGCGGAATGCTGGTACATCCATTATCTGACGAGTCCCAAATAGGACAAAATGCGCATCCTGGATTCCACTTCTAGTCACCATCCATCAAATTAACCTCTAATTACGTGCCCAGACATTGTTGAAGCATTTGCACAAGAAACCGACATGTCAACCTGAGACCGAGCATTTCGGTCTAATCAATTGACGGGAAAATCTTAAATTCAATTAAAGCAAAGAAGAGATTGAAAATATTATGAAGTAAATTGATCCTTCGTTCTAAATTGGATTACCAAGGCAGGTTTGATTTAATAACAAATAACTTTTGGACACATAAGACAGGTGTAAAAGATATGTGGATGACATAACAGTCATTTGTGATAAACCGATAGACGCCATAGAAATCATAAACCACATCAATAGAGTACAAATTAGTATATCGTTAACATACGTTAAGGAGAGTAGTGATTGCTTGCCATTTTTAGAAGTACTCATAACCCGCCGAGAAGATGGGTCAGTAAAATGATCTGTCTACATAAAGTCCTCATGGACGCGACAGTATCTAAATTATCATAGTTTCTGTCCACTGCAGTATGAAAAGGCTTTGGTTAAGTGTTTGTTCAAACGCATTCACCGTAAGTGTACTGCCGATACAACTGAAGAAGAAAGACAACACCTCACTGAAATATTGTTAGATAACAATTTTCCTCTGAGATTTATTAGGCGTT